AGAATCAGCCTACGTGTGATTAGATTCACGGCTCCCGGTGAACGTTGGCTGTACTCAAACCTTCCCTTGTTGAAGTGGGTTCGAAGCCCACGGAGGCCGCGAGTTTTTCACAATTGGTTCAATTGAATTATTTAAATCTGCCCCCCCTCGTAATAGCTAATGAATTCTCTGTTAAATCCTGGTTTAACCCGACCGGTTTTGCAACAAAAGGCCTATTCCATACCAGTTCCTTGTATTTTTTTCCTGACTTCCAGATCAAAGCCCGTTACTATAAAGAAATGAAAAAGTTTATCGGAATTCCCTGCCACTTTCGCGGTGTCGGTGAGTTCGCCGAAATGAAGGCGGATGGAAGCAAAGTCGCTCTCATCTTCCCAATGATAATTGAAAACCAATCCGCTGGATTTCGAGTCTGTTATAGAAAGGCGGAGTTTCTGTTTGCCCGTCTGGCAGCGTCAACTGAACGATTTCGCGATTGGGTTGCTCTTGGAAACGTCAATTTGGACGACTTAGTTGACGTCGAATGCAGAGCAATCTCAGACTTCGAGAATAATTTCAGGGTATGTTCCAGTTTTATCTAATTATTTCGGTTTGTTTCATCTTTTTAGCTTTCTCAAAATAATGCAATGGAGATACGGCTTCATGGCCCTGTTGAAAGGGTGACTTGTATAAGTGGCATCCACGACTAGCCATGCCTCAAAAACACGCTTCTAAAATTGTACTGTAGTAATCCTTAAATGCAAATCTATGTATGTATTTTGGGAATGCCTTATCTGGCCCCCAGACAGGATATGAGAATAGCAACCGTCCATAACTCACGCGGCTTCGCGCTGAATTCCTGGGAAAGTACGGTTAGGGTTAAATTTAATAGCCAGATAGAATTGCCGGCAAAGACAAGGGAGACTGGAATGGCCATTTCTGACTTATTAGGTGTCGTCAGCCAATCATACCCAGACCCAAGTGGTGCTCCAATCGAGCCTCTAACTCGCGAGCTTTTTAGATCAGAGTCAAACGCCCTAACCATTGAGCCACTAGTTCGTTGCCTCGGCCGTTTAGGTCAGGGGATAGTGGCACTCTTTGATGAACGTTCACCTGACCGCTAACGGAACTCATTTGTCCTGCTCCTGTAAGAGTTCGAAAACTCAGAACAATAAATCAATTTATCTGGTGTCCGATACGTCTTCTTCCTCGTCTATGCAAATACCTGAATCGCAAACCTTCTCATCTATTCGAGAATGAGTTCATCGGTCTTTACCACAGCAATGCGAGGTTGATCACATAATCCAGCTGCTTACTGAGTTCTGGTTTTCTTCTCCATATTGCAGCGGCCTCCGCAAACCGCAGGAGACGCCCGGTCGTTGCCTGAAGCGTGACTTTAAATGCAGTCTTTTAGTCGACCGTATGGTCAGTGTCTACTAAGTGTTTCGTTATTGAACCCTTGGGTGTTTTATTTTCCATCCTGAGCAACCACTTCGGTATATGTTCAGCTGACCGCATTTTCAACTGCCTTCGCGTGCGTCCGACGTATTTGCATCCGCAAGTATATGTAAACTCGTAAACACCGTTTGGTGTGGCATGCATAGGCAGAATGCCTTTAGTTGGTCTAACTGGAATAGCCGTGGTTGTGTTTATGTACAACAATTTAGAAGCTGGGAAAGTTCTTTCAATCGTGCATCGAAGCCTTCGCTTTACCACGTTGGATACATTATGACCACTGAAAGGGAGGAGAATGCTCATTGACTTTTTTGGCATTGATATTTCGAGAGAATTTTCTTGTCTGTGGTTGCGATACTTATCAATGAATTTCTCCGGATAGCCGTGTCCAGGAGATAGTTTCTTAAGAAAACTCATCTCTTCATCGGTCGTATCAGAAGAACAAATTCTAGTGGCTCTACTGCAAAGACACAAAACCAATCTTCTTTTCCGCTGAATTGGAATGAAATTTTTAAAAATGCCTGTATTGTCCTTCCCATGTGGTTTTCCGATAGTTGGACCTTTGAATGGAACCGTCTTCCCGCGTGCGTATAAGCACGTCTAATAAAGCCAGTGTGTCTTCTTCCTCATGCCCGATCGTAAATTTGGTCTTTGCATGCGCCTCGTTCATAGCTTTAAATTGCAGTTATTAATAGCCAATGACCGTTTGCAATTAAATAAGAGGTCGCGAAATTATATGACGTCAATAAATTATGATAATCGCGTAATCATCTCCTTGTTCAAATTTCATCTGGGAAAGTAATGTTTCAATTTCCCACAGTTGTCAAACAGTCATTCCCCAAATTCAGGCAGGGAACTTCCGTGAGCATTTCATAGTTGGAGGATTAGTTCTGACTTTAGACCCTAACGTAAAACTGAGCGATGTTTATTCCACCCCGCCATCAGCTGTGAATGTTCTGGGTGAGGTGATAACTCAGCAGTTCTTTAACTATGCTCTGCTATTCGTATTCCGTTCAATCATGTTTTTTTTGGAACTAGTCTGTCCTTTGTAGGCGCCAGTCTGAGCAAATTGTCTTTTTTTTTTGTTCAGGCCATTAAACGCCGAGGAAGAGCTGCCGAAGAACTGCCCAACGAAATTCGCATTGACTGCTTTACAGTAAATTGCATTCCCGTAAAGAATACAATCGAACAGCTGTTACAAAACCTGTTTGATGCCCTCCTCAACTGCCTTCGTCGGTCAGTGCAGGCTGATCTCGTGGCAGCGGATGCCTTCCTCACAGGTGCGATCAGCTTCACCACTAACACGTCTTCCTTCCTCTTAACTTTTTAACGTACTTTAAGCAGGTAAATCGTTTTTGGTTGATGCTCAATTAGGCGAACACAACCTCTACTATGACGCCTTCCTATCTGTGTGCCCGTTTAAATGTTTAACCAAACACTGGAGTAATCACTGAGTCTCGAACGTCTCAGAAACCCGCGAAATGTGGGTAAAATCGTTATTTAATAAATCTCATTGGATGTTAAAGGCGCAGTCACTTTCACATGAGTGGATGATGTTCCAATATAAGTAAAAAGACAGTAATTGATGTAGTAATGGTGACTTCTGTGTGGTTTGACCGTCTAATGACGCCCTTTGGAATCCCCGGAGAAGAAGACAATAAGAAGGGCGTAACTCTGGAAGCCACCCGGAGGAGAGTTTATTGTGTACAAAACCCGGGGTTGCTTTCTCGGATGGCAGTTGCCGCTGGCGTAAAGCCAGTGCGCTGAATTTCTCGCCATGAGGCGAAGCCCGGGCCTGAGGTGGACTGGCGGTGTCCTTGCAGTCCGTGTGTGGCAGTTGCTTATAAGGGGATTGTGGAATGATTGGGCGCGTTGGAATAGGGTCACCTACTACGTGGCGCACCTAAGGGACCCTTGAGGAACTGCGACTAATTGGGCACGCGCGTGTGAGGGAATATCGGGTCTAGCGGTTTAAGGTCATCGTGTGAAGACAGTTACTGCGACGACACAACGACCTTGCGGCAGTCCGCACTGACAAAGGAATCATTGAAACATTGTTTTCCCGGCAGTAATTTGAACAAGGCGAAGATCATGAGATTAGCAGAATTTAATGACGTCATAAAATTTCGTACTTCGGGCGACGACCGGGAGTCTCGTACGCTTTGCGGAGGCCGCTGCCATACGGAGAAGAAAACCAGAACTCTGAAAGCAGCTGGA